TAAAGTATCCAAAAAAACCCCAATTGATATTTACAATAAAATTTTTAAAAATTAAATTAAAATTAACAACCATATTTTATTATATTCAGGCCAGGCTGGCTTGCTGGAAAATCCAACTTTTTAGGGCACGTTGGAAGGACCGGAGGTTGGGGATTATGCAAAGCTCTGGGGGCATTATTATAACCTTACATTAACAGAATCTTGCAAGACTGAAAGTATCCCCCCCTTTTACTCTCCAGAAAACTAGAGAGGGTCCCTTCTGAAATAATGTCCTCTCCTGTGGGCTTTTATATGCCAGTTGTCTAATCTACAGCTCCTCCTTCTGTCTCCCAAGGTTATTTCCACATTCCATTACATCTAGTTTGGGAGGGAGCAGGAGTTACAGGCATCAGAGTCTCAGGTGGTGATTTCCTTTGTGGGTCCTTGCTTCCCTACTTACAGGAGCTGATGACAGTGGTTGACTTGGTGGGGGCTGGACCTGGGGGAGCATATGACCTGTCACCTCCTTCAATTTACACTTGCAAGTGCCATTCTTGCTTGTTCTTCAAAGTAAAACAATTTTAAATAATACTTTAAGAGTGTGGGCCCCGTGTTTCTTTTCATGGCTTAGGATACAATAGACTTTTATCTTTCTTCAATTAAGGAGACTTGCTGTACATATTATCAGCCACCTTTCATCCCAGCAATAAATGTTAAATGCTCACAGATGATTTAGTGAAGCTATTTAAATATGCAGCTTCCAAGCCAAGCTAACGTACAAACATTGATTAGAAAGTAGGTAATGGCATTAATGCAAGCAGAAAGAAAATTAAAATGACCTGGAGGTGGGAAGCATTATCCTATGGGGCTTCTACCTCAAAAATACACTTCTGCTTAGTTAGATTTGATGCCATCCAGAAATATAATGCTGTTGAAGGCCCAACCTGTTAGCTGGAAGAAGAGGCTAGACATTATGATCATTATGAATGGCAGTAGAACGGAGTCAGTACATCCTTGAATGATAGCGCCTTTCTGCTAATGACTTTTGCATCTCCACTGAGGTATTCAGTAAGTCTGGACAAGTGCCCATTAATATGGACCTGAAATCCTCTGCTTTGCAGGAATAGGGAAGAAATATTATCAATGTCCCAAACAGTTAATCATTCAGAGAAAAGACAATGGGATGATTGGCAGATCTGAGGGAAAATGTTGATGTTCTCTTATGTATTCCTGATAAATTTATGCTTGCTTGTTCCTTCTAAATGCCTCTGATGTTAATTTATGTATTATACAGTATATAATTCCCTTGAACCTGGGACCCATGACAGAAGTCAAAATAACAGACAATATAAATACTTGTTAAATTCATCTTTTAGCTGCCATTCCACCAAACTGCAGCAGAGTGTGTTGGAAACCGATGTTCGTCTCCAGAAAAAAATTCTCAAGAGGTGTAGTTGTTTTAACTTTATAAATTTGTGCCACAGTTAGTTTTTACTCATTCCCTCCCATGCCCTTTTTATTCTATGGAAACACAAAAATGCAGTTATTAAAATCCAAACTGTTGCTGTGTCATTACCAAAATAAAAAAAATGAAGAAAAAATAGAAAGCAGCAGCAAACAATAGCTAAAAATTTCTAGTTCAAGATCCTGACCATTAAGCTTATTTGGAAATAGACCCCCCCACCCCCAGAATGAATGAACCATTTAATTTTTTTATGGAACTACAGTTTAATTTTTGGCAGTGAGGGCTCTAAGGAAGCAGTGTCCCTCAAAAGCTTGCTTAAAGCTCATAAATTCCTCTTTGTCAAAGCAAAAGTGAAAAGCATGACGGAGCAAGGAGACAGCATTGTTGTTTAAACCAACATTGCTGACAGCTAGACTGTTTACTTTTCTTTTCTCTTTATACAAGCCTGTGTCAGTGGGTCAGATTTTCAGCCAAGACAAATGGCTTTAAAAACATGAGAAGTATCAGAATGGAGTCAAAATCTGTGCATACAATGGAAGGAATGTTAGATACCAAGTTTCTCCGACTATTAAGACAACTGGTTAAGGGAAAATGGGGAAGAAGAGACCTGCAAAATGCTTCCTTCCCTGTTTGGCTTTGTCTTGTCCAGGAAAACATCTTGCTAGCAACAATATGCTTGGGAGGCTTAATTGAGAGAAGGGGCTCGTAGCTCCAGTTGTTTATAACACGATGTTAATTAAACCTGCTGAGGCTTGTGTCATTAAAATCATTAAAAGCCATCGTAGCATCAGAGTGAAAGAGGAACTGGCTTGCATGTCTCCTGTGCATCTTAAGAGCCTCACAATCTTTAAAGGGAAAAGTTGCTGCTGCTTCTGGGCCAGTTTTGGAGAACATTCTTTCCATTCTTTCTGAGATTTTCTAAACCCTAGGGAAAACAGAAATGTGGAGAAAACACATAAACTGTGTTGACTCAACTGCAAGTGCAAATCTTGCCAAGAAGTATGCTGTTGAGAAGTAATTGCTTTGCTCTTCTATGGTTCAAACACAGCAATGGTAAGAATTACTGTGCTAAGCACCATAGGAGGTACCCTGCTATTCAGTTTGAAAATTGGTATGAGAAATGACATTTTGGAAGGCCCATCAGGTAAAATGAAACTGAATTAATTCTTAACTGATGTGTGACAAATCCCTATTTTAATATAAATGGATTGTGTTGGTTTCTTTAAGGCTACAGGCAACCTTAACCTGCCAGATGTTGGACTGCATCAATCATTATCCCACATCCATGACCATGGTGCTAGGACTTAAAGAGTTTTATATCAAAAGGAGATGTATTTCACTGAATACATTTTTGCAGGGGAGTTCATAATTTTAGGAGGTAAAGTTAAACTATTTTGTGTTAAAAATCTATGCGAATGAATTTGTTTTATTTTCCCAACTTCACATCAATCTATCTTATCATTTTGGGTGATATGATACATGATTTATTATTTTAATCCTTTAGGTATGTGAAAAGCAAATAGCTATCCATGTATATCTATATACTTACACGGTTATACTAAGCAGAAAATAAATGTCAAATATTGGGCCAATATATACTTCAAAGATTTTGCAAGAGCATAAATGTAAATGCTATGAGAGGTAAGTCACCTTGAACAGTGAATTATTTTTAAAAAATATATATGATATAAAGTTTAAAGTGTAAATTAATTAAATAAATAAAAATAAATCCAAATGGGTTGGGGCTTGGCAATTTTCCCAACAATTTGGCAGGCACCTCTCTGTCCACATTTGGTAGATTTTTGGAATACGAAGGGAGCAGGGCACAGGATGAAACTGTTGTAGATGGTGAGCTTCTGCCATTCCAGAATGGGATGATTCAGAGCCTAGCTCTAAGTCCTTTGTTACTTAACATCTATTTGATACTTACTTGTCAATCAGAGGTGAGGAATATCAGTATGCTGAAGATGTGCTTACTTGTTAACTGTTTATTAGTCAACTTTATTGCCATCCTAGCCAATCTTTGGATGCTATGGGAGTCCTAAATTGGTGTCCAGAAGTGAAAGCAACCTGTGTGAGGAGAAATGAGTTCAAATAATTCCTACCAAGAGTTGTAAGACTCCAGCAGTATGACACGGTTGCATTCCACCATACCCAATGCTTGTCTGTGACTTGAGCATCGGTGCAAGCCATGGTACCTTTGCTCAGCTCCAATTGATGTGTCACTTATAGCCTGGTTTGGATCAAGATGATTAGGGGACATGCTCTGATCCCCTCAGAACTGGATTATTTCACCCTATTCTACATAGGGCTATCGTTGAATTCAAAATGGAAACTACAACTGATCCAAAATTTGGAGCTAGGGAAATTTGCTATTGTAGAATTATATTTATTCTTAGATCTACCGGTTACTAATACTCTACATACAATTCAAATGTGCTGGTTGTGGCTATTTCTAAACCATGGCATCAGGATATATCCAGAATTGCCATGCCCATCAAAAAAGCCCCTGTGTCCTCTCCTGCACCCATTAGAGATTGGTGTGGTTCAGACAAAATGTCAAGTCCTTTTAATAAGACTCACTGCCTGACCTCCTTTATCTTAGAAATATAGCACATCCCAACTTTTCTTTTATTCAGAAAAACATTTTATTTTTTGATGTGTGCCAGTGTCTGTAAAGGATACCTTATTTATTGCCTGGATTTCAAGATACCAGAGACCAGAAAGGGCAGCTTATAAAATGTGGGTGATTATTACATTAAAATTAATTTTAAAATACTTTTTCCCTTTTGAATTTTGGGAATCATTTCGAATCCTAGCAATTGGGCTAACACTCCTGAACAAATAAAAATAAAAACATTAAGTGAGCTAACAAAGATTGCTGCTTGGTCCCCATTTGGTGCAAGTATCTCACGTGGCTGCGTTTCTTGTTATCCCGAGGGCAATGCATATGGGACGCAAAGAATGACATAAGCGACATTAAAAGCTCCTGACCAAAGAAAACTCAGTCATCGCGCTGCATCCCGGATTTGCCTCCCGCCTTAAATTGCAACAAACCATTTGGCAGGGGGAAAAAAAGGAAAACACTGAAACATTTTAAATCGCCAATTCACTTAGGGCAGCTTATTCCACCCACCTCCCCCTTTGCATTCCCTTTGCATTTCTCGTCTCCAGAGCCGAAAACATTAACGCCAAGACAGCGCGCGCCCGGCGGGCCCGAAGGCGCGGTTCTTCAAACTTCAAGTCTGGCGATTGCTGGGCGTGGCTAGAAAAAGCAGGAGGCAGGCAGGCAACTGGCCAGGCTTGTGATTGAAGGGCCAGGGAAAAAAAAAGCCCCCAAGAGGGTATAGGTGGGGTCGAGAGCTGTCCCAGGCCCTTGATTGGCTTAGAGACGCAAAGGGGGCGTGGTTCCAGGCGGAGGCAGTTTAGGGTTGGGGTGGGGCTGACGGCCTCGGCCAGGGAATTTCAATTTTGAGTCAAACTGAGGGAGACGGTGCGCGGGGACGAGCTGGAGGAAGGCAGGTAGGGAGCGCTCATCGCGCGTAACCGGAGCGAGTTGCGCCTGTTGGCGGGCTGAGCGCGGGCCTGGGCGTCAGGCGCCTTCTCCTCCTCTCGGGGGCTCGGTGCGGGGGAGGCGTGTGTGAGGAAGGCAGCTGGGCACCGAGCGAGCGGGAGAGGCGGAGCGCAGAAGGCGCCGGGTTTCCCCTTCCTTCTTCGGGCGCCGGAGGTGAGTGGAAGTCGGTCGGTTCTGCTCCCTGGGCAGCGGTTACTGCCTCTGCCGGGAGGTGCGGCTCCTGTTCATTTTCAGCTCCAGACTTAGATCGGTGGGTCAGTGGGACATGTGGCCAGCGCTGCTTCTTGCCCTGCTTTCTACTCCCCCCCCCCCCCCCCGGGCCGGTCGCCTCCTCGTCCTCTGGGCTAGATCGGGGTGATGTAGTTCGAATCGGTGGCGCCTCAGCCTCCGACAAAGTCAGCCCGGGCTGAGGGGAGAGGAAGAGTGGGGGCTGCAGCAGTTCCGCCAGGAAGGCGCTTGTCAGCTCGGCCTCGGGGAAATCCGTTCCTCTCTTTTCGTGGGATGAAAAGAGGGGGTCTACCGAGAGGAGTAGGGGACGGACAGACGACGAGCGCACAACTTTCGGGCCGAGCCGGGTTCGAGTCTTGACGAGTTGCGCCGCCGTTGGGGGAGTGAGATGTAGAGATGCCCCGCGGCCCCTGAGACGTTTCTTTCGCGCTGAGATTGAGAGCGGCGCCTTCACTGCCAGTTGCAAAAAAAGAAAGAAAGAAAGAAAGAAAGAGGGAGGAGGGGAGAACGAGAGAAAGAAAAATACAAAGAAAGAAAGAAAAAGAGAGGGAGGGAGAAAGAGAGAATGAAAAAGAGAGGAAGGGAGAAAGAAAGAAAAGAAGAAAGAAAAAAGATCTCATGTGCGGTCTGAAACTTCCTTTAGTTAAACTGCATCCTGGAGCTGGCGCTAGTGTTTGTTGAAATCTCCCTCCTTTTTTTACACCTTGCCTTGTGTGCGTTTGTATGTTTGTGTGTGATCAACACCCAAAGTGAGCCCTGGGGCGAAGCAACACTTTTTTGGAAGTTCGCCCACAAAATCTGGGGATCATAACTTTTTAGGGAAGCCGCTGCAAATGGGAAAGGGGAAGATCTGTCAACTGTTTTTACACATTGGAGACAGCTGCTGTGGTTCGTTTTGGGAAACCCCCCTCCCACCGGGCAAGATCACCATTAAAAAATGGTTTAAGAGGGAAGGCAGGAGTATTATATGAATGCAGCTGACATATGAATCGTATCAAAATTATTGAGAAATGATGATGATTCTAACAGTTTTTAAAAATATTACAGTATTTGTGAGGCTTATATCCTATCTTGTCTGCAGCAGCCCAACACAGTATACAGTAGGTAGTGCTCTCTCCTCCTGTTTTTTTCTCACCACAGAAACCCTATGAGGTCAATTGGACTGAGAAAATTTGTCCAGAATGCTGTGGGTGAAGGTGTGCTTGAATTCTACATCTACCATCTTCACAATCATGCATCAGTAATTCTCCTTAAAAATCTAAAATCCACAAGACCACTCTTACAATGATAGTTTTAAAGGAAGATTGTAAGCTTTTTCTTTTTGTCCTGTTAATCTAAATACTGAGAGGGTGGCATTATACAACAAGGTTCATTTAGAATTTTTCTATTTAACATTTGATAGGATAAAAGAAAAGAAAACAAAAAAAACCTTGTCCTTCTCCCCAAAGTAGTGGCGCTTGTAAAATCCTAAATTTAATTTATGAAATTTAAAAATAAATATTAGGAGGACACATTTGGTATTAAATTACACTAACGTAAGTCTGAATCAGTATGAGGACATGTACATAGAGAAATGATCACTCAGTATTGCATGCACAGTCTCTGCATTAAAGGTAAAAGTGATAATTCTGGTTTAGGGTAGGTGAGATGGAAAATATAAGGTAGGTGAGATGGAGAAGGCTGAAGTAACCAAGAGTTGGCCTGAACCTAATGAAGATATTAGCTTCATACTTTGAAGTCTGAAGAACTATGAATATTATGTCTCATCTTTTAATCTTACCTAGATAATTGTTTTTCATTCCTGGGGGATATTCTAGGCTAAGATATTGTATGGTATGAGAAAATTGAATGGATGGAATAGGAAAACTGTGACTTATTTATTTTATAATGTTATGGGGAAGCATTGTTTCTGGATAGCTTGTTGATGAAAATGAGAGAAAGTAGCTAGGAAACTATTAAGGATGGTGGAAACATAGATAATAACTTTCTTTATTTCAACAGAGCTCTGTCTAGGTTGGCTTCAGTTTTGAATCTCAAAGGATAAACTGAACTAATATCTTTCTATTGTGACATACTGTAATAGGTACAAAAGTATGATACAAAGGATTTTGTCTTTATTAGCTTTCCTTTATGTTTTCCTTCTTTGCTTTTTTCAGCATTTTTTTGTAATTTAACCAATCTTCTGTCCTGGAAAAAGCCCAATGTACCTATCTAAGGATGTCATGTAATAATGGTACAGATGTGGCTTGAACACTATATTTCTTTGCCACACCCTATTTTCTGAATTTTTGTACATCTTGTCTAATGAAAAGTTTTTCAAACTTTGATCATAGAATTGCTTTGTAAACTTTCAGTTATTTTAATGAATATATCTCAGTATAGTTCATTTAGTGGTTTACAATTTAATTCAAGTTGTTGATCAGTAGTTTTTGGAATAAACTTAGAACATACTGGAAATAAAATTACAGTCTTAAGTAAAATGATTTCAAAATTGTTTTGGTGTGAAATAATTTGATTATTAAACAATCATGGTAATAACTTTTGAACATAAGCAACTTGTGCAGCAATAATTATGAGCAATTTTGTCCCCTCTTCTGGGATTGGTTAAAATTTAGCAAACATACAGTACAAAGACGTAACTAGATAAATAGAAAAGGGAAACATTGACAAGTGTATTTCAATTAATGCAGGTTTTATAATAATATTTCCAAATTTCTGAAAAGTTAATAATGGCCAGATGTAGCATGAACTGTTGTACATGTAAGCAGCAAAAATACTACTAATTTATAGGGTTTTTAAAATCTCTCTCATAAAAGAGTGTATTTCTAGGAATTATTTCTAAATTTTATAAGTACTGAATTTCCTTCAAGATCTGCAACATATTGATTATGTGCCATCCAGTCAATGTCAACACTTCCTGACCACATTGATTTTCTTCTTGATGATTGGTCCCTGACTTTGTTCTTCTGGTCATCTACCAGTATCTTCAACAGAACCACTAAAACATTCTTCCAGGTCTACAAATTGGGGGTGGTGGTGGTTACAATTGGACTATCAAAAGTATTTGGAGTAATTACCTGATTTGGGATGTATGATTGCTTGCCAGGTTAGTAAAAGTAAACATATTACCTTCCATTGTTTGAAGAGGAGGAATAACATGCCACTCCTTTTGAGACTGTTTGCTTTAATTGTCTTGCTTTCCCTGTTTATACACAAAGACAATGAAAAGTGTAATGAGAAAAAAAGGATGCCTCCCTTATGAGCATACGTGTAGAATTACGTGTAGGCGTAATTCTGAAATAAACATATTTAAAGCCATATTGTTCTTTTTAATTCAACTTTACTGAAATGGGAAGTTTGGTTCTTTTATGCTTTAGGAGACATGCCGTTGATTCTTCTAGTTTGAGAAGAAAACGGCTAACATTCATGTGCTGAGAACCAGAGTGCCATCTTGCAAAACTTCAGATGGGGCTTTTTACTTTTAGCACATAGAATGCAGTCTATTCTGATATTAATAAGACATTTATAGTGGCATCTTTAAAATCGTTAATGAAGATCTACCTTTTCATAAGCACCTCTCTAAATGAATGTTGCATGAGTAGTTTCCATGTTTTCTTGTTTTCCCTCCCATCTTTTAAAAATAAATGCTATTTTTATTTTGCTTTAGCTTACTATATTTAAAAGTAAAGATTCAAGTTGAGCTTGATCCTGAGTGACTGCATGGGCAAATCTATGTCTTTTTCTTGACAGTTATATGAAAGTTTTCTATCTACTTCTGTTATATAGTATAATAAAAACATATTTACATTGTTAACATTACTTCTGTTATTATTTTTCTATCTAGCAAGCAGAGATTGATTTAATCTGGCCTTTCCAGGGTTTAACTTTTCCCACTAGATTCCCTTTGAAGTGTCTTAGAATTTTTACCTGTTTTTTAAACTTGTTTCTTTACATTTTTCACATGCATGTTATGAGATGTATTTATTAGATTTATATCTCACATTTCATCCAGAATTCAAGGCAACATACATGACTCTTGACTTTCAAGAAGTTAAAACTAGAATACAGGTAGTCCTCGATTTACAGCAGTTTATTTAGTGATTGTTCAAAGTTACAACTGTACTGAAAAAAAATGACTTCTCACCATTTTTCATATTTACATAGTTTAACTTCATAGTTTAACTTTATTGCCATTGTACATATATACACAGTATACACATACAATGAAATTCACATAACACCCAGAGACCAGGCCCAATACCCATGACAATCCCCAAATACATCCCCACCCACCAAAAATTCCCCACCCCTAAACCACCCAAGCATTCACACAACAGACCAAATAATGCTGTCCAACAGCTTATTGATGGTGAGCCTTAAGTTCATTGTTGGGTGCAATTTTAGCTCTGGGATAAAAACTATTCAGAAGACGTGTGGTCCGAGTTTTAATTGTTCTGTATCTTCTGCCAGAAGGCAACACGATCTGCCAGAAGGCAATATGATCATTGCCACATTCCCATGGTCATATGATCAAAATTCAGACACTTGGCAACTGATTCACAGGACGGTTGCAGTGTCCTGGGGTCATGTGATCTCCTTTTGTGACCTTCTGACAAGCCAGGTCAATGCGGAAGCCAGACTCACTTAACAACCATGTTACTAAAGTAACAATTGCAGTGATTCACCTAACAACTGTGGTAAAAAAGGTCTTAAAATGGGGCAAAATTCACTTAACAGCTGTCTCATTTAGTAACATAAATTCTGGATTCAATTGTTGTAAGTCAAGGATTACCTATATGTTTACAAAGGCTTAAACAAAGCTGTGCTTATAGTTCTAGGTCCAAGAATGTTTTAAATTTAGAAACTAGGAAGTTTATTCTACTAGTATATAGTGCGATTTAGTTATCCCTACTGACTAAACTTCT